TTGTTATTATTTGAGGCAACATACATTTGTAGTCCCAAGAGGGGCTCAGATTATGTACTGTTCTCCCCCTCCACACACCCACCAGTTTAATAGAGAGTGACTCAGATAATAATGGCTAAAGTATATAAAATGATTACTACCTGTGAGGTGCTGTTCTAAACCAATTACAGGACCAGCTCCTTTAATTCGTAAAATAGCTCTTTGAAGTCAGGACTACTGTGTTCCTCCTTTAACAGGTGGAAGATCTGACCTTGATTCCCAAGAATCTGACACTGTGCTGGTTCCCAGATGGGTATAAGCAGGCCCCTCCTCTCCCTCTTGCCTCACTGCCCCCATCCAAGGGCTATGGGTTCCCAAGGTTACTTATGCCAAGGTTATTTATTTATTTACCGTCTGCCTGTCCCTGCACCCAATACCGAGTACTTGAATCCTTGCTGGAGTGACACCTTCAAAGACTTAAAGTGTTCTTTTCTTTTCTTTTCTTTCTTTCTTTCTTTTTTTTTTTTTTGAGAGGTTTTTGCTATAGGGCGCATGCACTCACCAGAAAGAGAGAGACAGAGAGACAAAAAGTGAGAAATCACCCCCCAGGGGGTATGTCCACGCTGCAATACCTTCCCCTCCATTCTCCTCTTGGGATATTGGGCACGCACGCACACACACCTGACGTGAGTTTAAGCCATTGGGTCCGGACTCGAACAGAGGTTGACTACATCGGAGTCGACATAGCCATTACGCCAACTGCTGGTCCCAGGCTTCAAGGGTTTGAGCAAACATCCTGGTTCCATCCTGGGTAGATGAAGTCAGGCTGCTATTATGAACTGCCAAGTGAGGTTTGGGGACCCCAAATCCTTCAGGATGGGGTTGGGAAATAGCCTGTGAGGGCAATAGGGGCAGGAGGGGAGGGATCAAGGGGGGAAATAAAGCAAAACATTTAATGGACACAAAAATGGAAGATTACGTGTTGATGATAATGTATACAGTAATATCTTTTTCCCCTATTTTATTTTGTAATTTCTTATTTACATTTAGTTGCTGTACATCTTTATGATATCCAATACAATATGGTTTTTCAAAGCATGCATGCAGTGTATGATGATCAAATCAAGGATATTATTTTTTTCCTCTGTGTAATATAAGTATATTTAGAAAAGAGATTACTACACAAAATTTAAAAAATATAATAGTAAGGGTCAGCAAACTAAGAGGGAGAGGGCAGTTGACCAGTACCTTCACACTAATATGCAGTATACTCATGCCTGGAGAGTCCATTTTGTACACTGTAAAGATGGAGTCATTCAGCCCTCAGAATGGGAAAATATTCTTGTACACTATGTGTCAGATAAGGGACTGATAACCAGAATACACAGGAAACTCAAGCAGCTGTCCCGAGAAAAGATAATCAACCCTACTAAAAGATGGGAGAATGAGTCAAAAAAAACACTCTCCAAGGAAGACATATGAACAGCCAAAAGGCATATGAAAAAATGCTCAACATCCCTGATTATAAGGAAGATGCAGATCAATACCACAATGAGATACCACCTAGCCCCAGTCAGAATGACTAAGATTTAAAAAAAAAAAAAAAAAAGATAAGTGCTGACAGAGCATGATAAAAGGGGAACTCTTCTACACTGCTGGTAAGGATGTAAATTGGTCCAGCCACAGTGGAGAACAATTTGGGGATTCCTCAAAGATCTACAAATAGAACTACCATATGATCCAAAAATCCCTCTCCTTGGTATCTGCCCCCAAAATAGAAGAATCCTTAGTTGGGAAAGTGCTTGCATATTGATGTTTATTGTGGAATTATTCACAATTGCTAAGACATGGAACCAACTGAAATGCCCACAAACAGATGAATGGATTAAAAAAGTGTGGTACATATACTCTAAGGAATATTACTCAGCCATGAAAAACAAGACCGTGACTTTTGACAGAAAGTGGATGAATATGGAAGATTTACTGCTGAGTGAAGCAAGCCAGGCTATGAACGAGAGACATTGTATGTCTCCTCTTAATATATACTGAGTGTCCACACTCTAGAGCTGAAACTGAATGACTAGAGGATATAGAAACATAATAAATGGTTATACATTCCAGATACATTGTGGAAAGAGGGTGGGTGAAGGAGTAGAGTCTGAGGAAGAAGGTTACGGAAACAAGTAGAGAGGCAAGGTGTTTATGGGACAGAGAAATGGGTTATTATCTACTGAAGATAATGAGTATAGTATCCTCAACTGGACTGGTGAGAAGTGTACACATGCTGAAATATCACTTTGCAAGCTAAGCAACATGTGATTGAATGTATAAAAGAAATTGAAATAAAAAATTTTAAAAATGTAAAATCATTAAATATAAATCAAAGGGGGGGGGCACCAAACTCAGCAAACTTATACCTAAGATTTATTCCTATAAATGACGACTAGAGAAATGAACAGATGTATTGACCCTCTTGTTGCCAGTAGAGATTTATTTGTTCTTTTTTAATAAACCCAACATTAATATTATACTCTTGTCTCTCATGGCAATAGTTTATATCCAAGTATCTTATCCAAAAAACACCTGTAGGTCAGACAGAGGAAAATAAATTTTCTGTATTTATGGTGACTTGAAAACAAATACTGGGAATGTCATCTTGTAGAAGGAAACTATCTATGGGTCAGTAGGATAAAAATAAATTGTGAGAAATAATAGTTTGAGTTCTCTACTTCTGGTGGTGAGCACTATGATTGCTAAGTAAAAAATCACTATAGGGCATGTGGACTCACAGGAGACAGAGAGAGACAGAAAGTGAGAAATCATCCCCTGGGGGGATGGCCATCCCTTCTCCTCCATTCTGCTCTCAGGATCTTGGGCATACATGCACACGTGCCCAGCGTGAGTTTTAAGCCTCCAGGTCCAGGACTTGAACCATGGTCAACTACATGAGAGTAACCATTACACCATCTGCTGGTCCCACTACTCTCTCATTTTGATTGAGTAGACATAAATTTTTTCCTAACTGAAATCATTCAATTTTCTTTCACCAGTGATGTCTCCGGTGTTTCAAGTTAAAGTTTTACCCTGTCATTATTTAGATATATTCTGGAGAGGTGGAAGAGTTAACATTTCTAAAATGGTTCATGTGATCACGTGGTTTCTTTTCTTTCAAGATTTTTTGCCAGAGAGAGGGAAAGTGAGAAGTCTCTCCACTCCCGGTGGAGATAGCCATGCAGTAATCCCTTCTGCATGCTCCTGGGGTTCTGGGCACGCCTATGCACCCTGCATATTTTTCTTTTTCCTTTTTTGGAGAGAATTTTGCTATAGGGTTGTGTGCTGGCGGAGAGACAGAGGCAGAAGCAGGAAATCGCCTCCCTGGGTGGTGATGGAGGGTGGCCACACCACAATTCCTTCTCCTCCAGTCTCCTCTTGAGATTTTTGGCACACACACTCACACACACACGCACACACTTGGTATGACTTTCAAGCCACCAGGTCCAGGACTCAAAATGTGGTCAACCATGTGGGAGTCCAGCCCCTTAACCACTGTGCTACCTGCTGCCTCCCCTTGCATGTTTTTCAAGTGGCTGGGTCTGGGACTCATAGCACAGAGTTGGTCATGTGGGATCCAGCACCTTGACCATCATGCCTCCTGCTGGATCCATCATGCGCTTTCTTTTTTAAAATGAGGACCCATTACTCCAGGATATTAGGTCCTTCACTCAACTTTATTTATTTACTTTTTTGAAGAATTATTTATTTAATTTTATTTATTATTATTGCTTAATTTGCTATAGGGCACATGCGCTCACTAGAGAGAGACAGAGAGAGAGAAAGAGAGTGAGAAAGAAAGCCGCCAGGTCCAGGAATCCAACCACAGTCCCACATATGGGAATCCAGCGCTTTAACAACCATGCCACCTGCCAGCCCCCCTTTATTCAACTTTAAAGCTTACAATGTTGGCTTTTTCTATCATTTGTATTTATCATGTTTTATTTCGATTTTTTCCAAGGTAAAAATGAGCTTTTCTCTTTCTTTCTTTTATTCTTTTTCTTTTTTTGAGAGAGAGAGATTTTTGCTATAGGGGGCATGCACTCACTGGAAAGACAGAGACAGAGAAACAGAAAGTGAGAACTCACCCCCAGGGGTGGATGGCCACAACACAATCCTCTCTCCTCTATTCTCTTCTTGGGATTTTGGACATGCATACACATGTGCCTGGCACGAGATTCAAGCTGCCAGGTCTGGGACTCGAATGGCATTGGCCAGGTGGGAGTCCACTGGCTCCATCACTACACCACCTGGTGGTCCCAATCTTTTCCCTTTTATAAGCAGAATGGAAGGGTAACTCTGATACCTTTTTTTTCCCCCAGACATTTTTGCCATAGGGCATGTGTGCTCACCAGAGAGGGAGCGAAAGAGAGAAAGAGAGGGAGGAGAAAAAGGAAACATCCCCACAGAAGAGATAGCCACATCACTTCTCCTCCAGTCTCCTCTCAGTATTTTGGGCACATAAGCGCTCGTGCCTGGAATGAGTTTCAAGCTGCTGGGTCCAGGACTCAAACTGTAGTCGACAATGTGGGGGGTCTACTGCCCCAACCACCATGCCACCTGCTGGCCTCTAACTCAGATATCTTATTCTGAAGTGTGACTGATGTTAGTGAATTCCGTGTGGTTTAAGGTTTGACAAGAGAGGGGATAGAGGGAAACAGTCTTGAACTTCCCACTGTGGTCTTGCCTAGAGGGAGAGAATCTCTTTCACGTGGAGCCACACAAAGGAGACCTCAGTTCTAACTCAGCTCATCTTCTCACTGTCCCCAGACAAGCCTGAGACGTTTCTAGTCTGAATATGATTGCCCTTAATTCTGTGCTCTGTGATTTAACTTCTTTCAGTTTCCCCATGTTACTTTGTGTTCAAAATGTCTCTTAGTGTTCAAGTACTAACTGGATTTTCAAGTCCTAGGCCAAATCATGTAAAACTGGCGTGTGATGTGCCTGACCGTTCTGTTCTTCCTTCTTACTCGTCTTCATTTTCCAGGGATCTTTTCCATGGACAGTGCTTGAACAGTTAACAAGTGGCAGCTGTAATCGGCCTCAGCAGGAGTCAGGTGTCTCACAGGAGATTCAGCTGGGAGAGGGGGAAGGTCACCTTTACCTAATCGGAAATAAAGTTGAGAGTCTCACAAACGCAAATCCAGAACATTCAGAAAGACGAAGAAAGAGGCACTGCCAAAATTGTTACGCAAGCAGATCACTCTAGGGGCTAGTCTTCCGGTACTGATAAAACCACAACCATGTGCTCAAGGACTGCAGGAATCCTACTGTGTCGCAGATGTGCCCTGAGCAAGTTCACTGACCCCGAGTTCCAAGTCTGAGAATGAACCTAAGACGCGGCTCACATTGTACTGTGCATAGCAATACGCTTGGAAGCAGACTGCGAGGTGCGGAAAGGCAAGGAATGAGGGGTGGTTCTTCAGCTGCAAATCTACCTTAAATATGCAGACAAAATGAGGTGGAGGAGAAAAGGTATAACTAAGAGCAGGTACTGTTAATTCATTTTGTAAAGTAAGATGCCAAGACAGGGCGGCATTATCTGTAAACGCACACTTTCAGCAACAGTGATTATTTTAGACTTTGGCAGGGCACAGAACACTTTGGATAACTTTTTCTAGATACTATTATCAGGCCACCATTGTGGCCTCTTTTACATAAACAAAGAGACCCCTGAGATAGAGTTCCAGGGGAAAATCAGAAACAAGAGGGATTATCCAGAAAGAGCCCTTATAAAGAATAAACTATCTTGGGACCAGCAAATGGTGTAATGGTTACATTGCTGGGCTTCCATGTAGTCGACCATGGTTCGAGTCCTGGACCCAGCAGCTTGAAACTCGCACCAGCTGCATGTACATGCATGCCCAAAATCCCGAGAGGAGACTGGAGGAGAAGGTATGATGGTGTGGCCATGCCCCCCGGGCGGGGGGGAAGGTGATTTCTCGCTTTCTGTCTCTCTGTCTCTCCAGCGAGCATATGTGCCCTATAGCAAAAATTTCTCTTAAAAGAAAAAAGAGGAACAAGAAAAGAAAAAAAAAGGAAAAAGAAACAAAAAGAATAAACTATGTTTTTGTTTGTTTGCTATAGGGGCCATGAGCTCACCAGACACACACACACACACACACACACACACATACATACATACAGAGCAAGAGAGTGAGAGAGGGAGAATAAGAGAGAGAAAAGAAATGTGAGAAATCATCCCCTGAGAGGGATGGTCATGCTGCAATCCCTTTTCCTCCATTCTCCTGTCAGATTTGGGGCACACACACACACACATGTACCCAGTGTGGTTTTGCAAACTGCTGGGACTAGGATTGCTAGGTCAACCACGTGGGATGCATCTACCTTAACTACTGCGCCACCTGCTGCCCCTAGGATAAATTATTTTATTACTGCTCAATTCTCCCTTTCACTCTGCCTTTCATGGGCCAGGATCCCAGGTGCTCTGTTATTTCATTGCTATAATTTATATGTTCCCCAAATTCATGTGTTGAAATTTCACTGTGACTAGATTAAGAGGGTAAAACCTTGATCAGGTGATGGTGAGAAAAGGTGGGGCCTTTGGGAAGAGATCAGGACTACGGTGATTAGGCTGAGCCCTGTGGTTTGTAAGGAGCTGGAATGAGGCAGAGACTCATGGACACGGACACTCTGCTCTGCTCTTGCCCTCAGGTTGTGGTGTCCCCAGAATCTGCAAGACCCTCACCAGGTGTGGCCCCTGGACCTGAGGCCTCCAAACCATGAGCTGAATGAACCTCTGTCTTTGTATCACCCAGCTTTAGGTATCTTCTGTTAATAGCAACAGAAAGAACGTTCACATCCAGTACACGGCCTCTGTGAACCTCCTGGCTTACCTACTGAGCTGCCGTTTTGCGTGTTTCATCAGACCATAGCCAGTAAGCAGCGCCAACTTAAAAAGAACGCTGGGTTGTAACAAGTCACGCAAACGTGGATTATCTGAGCCAGTGCTTAAAAAGAGCAGCCTGGGTGAGCATATTCTGGTTCCCCAGAGATGTGCTCATTGAAATGGCAACCGAGAAAGCTGGTTTGTATGGCAAAGAGAAGGGCGAGAAGGGAGGTTCCACGTTGTTTGTCCAATGTCGACACGGAGTCCCTTAAAAGAATGTGGGCGACCGACTGGCTATACTTTGTTCCTTACATCACGAACTCAGAACCCCGGGAAAAAGAAAGGCACCCAAGTGTGTTCACCATGAACTAAAGCATGCTACTGGGCATTAACTCTGATGGGAGTGGGTGTAACCAAAGTCTCAGGTTCATATTGACTCAGGCCTTTAAAACGTAAATGGCCTTGCTTTCTAGCCTGCCCCAAGTTGTTTCTTTCACTATGCAGAGATACCCAAGTTCTTGCCAGATACCTGATCTAATCATATGATATGTGTTAAAGAGGAAATCTAGCTTTCCTTTAGTATTGCAGAAATGATTTTTTTTAGGTGTTGCCCTTGGAACAAATATTTCAAACATTGGATACTTAATTTTTTTTCTTTTTAAAATTTTTGCTATAGGACACATGGGCTTGCCAGAGAGACAGAGAGAAAGTGAGAAAGCACCTATGAGGGCGCTGTTTCTCTCTCTCTCACGAGTAAAGGAAGGAAACTTAAAAAAAATCATATAAATATGTACATGAGAGGCATGGAAAATAGGAACTCAAAGAAGGGCCAGGTGGTGAGGTTTATATACCCTTCCTCACAGGAGAAAGGGAAACAGAGAAATGAATGAGTACAATGCTCAGCCAATAGGACTAAATGATTCTTTGGGGGAGTTGTACAAGAGCAACGCTTTATTGAGAAGTAAGAGGCATTTGTACTTCATAAGTAAAAATGTTGTCTCACTATAGAGATAAAGTCTCTCCGATAAGTCTCTCTAGGAGCTGCTGCAGAACAGGTGTCCTGGGTATGAGAACCTTCAGTCTAGTCTCTCTTGGCACTTGATGAAATTCCAAGGGAGAGGGCTGAATTGCTATTGGGCAGCAACTTCCTTGATCAGATAGGTAAATTGGAGAGAGCTCCTCCTTGCGTTTGGGTTGGGGAGAAAAGTGGAGGTTACAGAGATCTTGAATCTGAGGCAACTCGGACACATGGGCTTGCCAGAGAGACAGAGAGAAAGTGAGAAAGCACCTATGAGGGCGCTGTTTCTCTCTCTCTCACGAGTAAAGGAAGGAAACTTAAAAAAAATCATATAAATATGTACATGAGAGGCATGGAAAATAGGAACTCAAAGAAGGGCCAGGTGGTGAGGTTTATATACCCTTCCTCACAGGAGAAAGGGAAACAGAGAAATGAATGAGTACAATGCTCAGCCAATAGGACTAAATGATTCTTTGGGGGAGTTGTACAAGAGCAACGCTTTATTGAGAAGTAAGAGGCATTTGTACTTCATAAGTAAAAATGTTGTCTCACTATAGAGATAAAGTCTCTCCGATAAGTCTCTCTAGGAGCTGCTGCAGAACAGGTGTCCTGGGTATGAGAACCTTCAGTCTAGTCTCTCTTGGCACTTGATGAAATTCCAAGGGAGAGGGCTGAATTGCTATTGGGCAGCAACTTCCTTGATCAGATAGGTAAATTGGAGAGAGCTCCTCCTTGCGTTTGGGTTGGGGAGAAAAGTGGAGGTTACAGAGATCTTGAATCTGAGGCAACTCTTAAGGCATTAAGGTCCCTCAGCATGTCAGAGTGCCAGTCTTTGGGGTTCCAGTTTCTGAGCCCCAACAGTGTCTTTACTCAAGCCATTCACTCTATTAGGAATGCCTTCCTCCACCCCCACCACATTCCCATTCCCAGATTCCGCCATCTTTCTCAGCCCAACGTGGGTGCTTCCTTTGCTTTTGCAGCTGAAAGTAATGTCTCCCTCCTGTGACCTTTCACAGCCTCCGTCAGCATCTTTTTCATGAGCTTGTCCCCTTTCACTGTGTGCTCTCATGCCTTATATTCAAATCTTATTTGATCCTCTAGACCTGAAGGCAGGATTTGTGATAGATGTCACTGTTTTTTCTTCCGGAGTCTAGCTTCCTATCAGAGACTTACACAGAAGTGAGGATGCCATATTTAGAAAACAATTTCAAAAGGACATGTAGGTTAATTTGCATGTCAAACAGAGAGCAAATAATTTTGAAGTATTTTACATAGCCAAATAGTACATGGAACCTGTTTACATTTAAAAATCACCATTCTTTTTCTATAATTAAAATTTAACTAGGCCTCCTGTATTTTATCTGGCAACCCTCCTAGGAGACACTTACTAATAGTTGATAATGAATGAATTTCATGTAAGTGCTCCCATTCTGTGACTATGCTTTCATTAGCAATGATTGAAGTCACTGAAAATAGTCATAAATTATAAATAGCTTTGAAAAAGATCATAGAGGTAATTTAGCTCAACCTTCTAGTTTTAGGAGTATTTAAAAAAATGTGTGTGGGAGAGAATAGCTCAAAGATTTGCTCCAAATCACATAATTACCTGGTATTCAGCCATACACTTCATCCAAGCTGTTGAAAATATAAGTAGGTCATCAAACCTCACAAAGCATAAGGATGAAGAGAGTGTCTCTCTGCTTGAACTGTACTTCTGTATGACAAGACTTCAAAAAGCTTATAGGAAAATGGAATGAAAGTATGAGTTTATTTTGGTTCAAAAATTTAGAAATCCATGCATAGGTTTTTCTCTCTCTTTTTTTTTTTAAGAATTATTTATTGGGACCAGCAGGTGGCATAATGGTTACATCACTTGACTCTCATGTAGTCGACTGCAGTTCGAGTCCTGGACCTGGTGGCTTAAATTCACACCAGGCGTGTGTATGTGTGTGCCCAAGATCCCAAGAAGAGGAGAATGGAGAAGGGACTGCAGCATGGCCATCCCCCTGGGGGATGATTTCTCACTTTCTGTCTCTCTGTCTCTCTCTTTCTGGCAAGTGCATGCATCCTATAGCAAAAACCTCTCCAAAAAAAAAGATTTATTTAATTTTGTATCTTATTATTATTATCTGTTAATTTACTATAAGATATGCATGCTCACCAGAAAGAGACAGAGAGAAAGAGGGAAAGTGAGAAGGCAAGTCAGGTCCAGGACTCAAACCATGGTCGGTCATAT